ATGAAAAACATCCCTCCCCTATTAATTTCCAAGTAACACTTATCATGATCTGAACTATTTTGTTTGCTTATGTGTTACCTGATGTCCTCACTCTCAACCTATGACCTGATTTCTCCTCAACAGAAGTTTCACTTGGACAAGGAAGCATGGCCTTGCTCAATACTGCATCTGCAGTTCCTAGAATACTGCCTGGCGATACTCACAGATTGAATGAATAAATGGGAACAGGGGATGATGGTCATTTTTCACTTCTCTTTTCATTTACATATTTCAGATGAATTTGAATGTTTTATAAAGTGCAGGCATTCTATAACAAAAAGAATGCTAAAATTGTGTAATTGGTATATTTCATCAAGCAGATAAAATAATTCCAAACCTTCTCCAAGAATCGATTACCGCCGGGCTCGGTGACTCAGTCTGTAATCCCATGCCTTTGGCAGGCTGAGGTGAGTGGATTGCCTGAGCCTGCCAGTTCGAGACCCGCCTGGGCAGTGAGACCTCATCTCTACAATAAATAAAAAAATCAGCCGGGCGTGGTAGCGCATGCCTGTAATTCCAGCTACTTGGAAGGCTGAGGCGGAAGGATCGCCGGAGACCAGCAGGTTGAGGCTGCGGTGGCCGGGAGCGGCCACTGCACTCCAGTCTGGGCAACAGAGTGAGACTCTAACTCAAAAAAAAAAAAAAAAAAAAAGAATCGATTACCTAGATTGCCAGCAGTTCACATTATTTCTGACTCCACACTGTAGATGAAGTCTGAACCATGGGGCCAGTTTAATGACTGGCTTGCTAGGCAGTACACATCCCTGAACTTGTGAATACCAGTCAATTCCCCTGGGCCTGTGAAAAGAGTGCCATTTGAGGTTTTCGCTGGATTCCAATCTCCTACTCACAGGATATTTGTTTCTTCTTCAGTGCCTTCATTGCTATCACCTCTCCTGCAGCTCCTTCTCCTGTGGTGCCCTCTCCCCCTCCTCCCTTGTTCAAAATCCCCATCATCCTTTAAGGCACATCCACATCCATCAGGAAACGGCCACAGCCACAGACAACAGTTTTTGAAAAGCTCTGTGCTTTTTAAAAAGGCACCTTGTCTTTGTGTCTCCCTCAATTAATTACAGTTGGTTGAAAGCAGTATTTTTATATAGCCAGCCACGCTGGGATGTCACTATACATTTTCCAGCTGAGGAAGGAAAAAATCTCACTACAGGCGGAAAAAATGCTGTCAGAGGTGGATGGGGACAACTGCTTAGACTCTTTCTCAAGTGAGAAAATACTAGACAATTTGCAAGAATACCGAAGTCTCCCCCACACAGTCCCATGAAGACGGCGGTATGTACACAACTGTTATCCAGAATTTATGAAGAAACAGAAGCAATGAAAAGCCAAAACTGACACACTTGGAATTATCTTTTCAAATACCATTGGATGTCGTCTGCTTTTGCCCTACTGTGATTACCATTCAGCATTGATTAAGTGCTTACAGTTTGCCAGACCCTGTGCTAAAAGCATTATGGGTATATCTCATTTAATCTTCCAAATCCCGAGTGCTCTCTCCTTCTTTTATTCCTGTGTCACAGATGAGGGAAATGACACACAGGTTCAGTAACTGACCCAGAGTTGCAAAGCTAAAGAGCATTACAGCTGGTTTGAATTCCCCAGACTTTGCAACTCCCGTTCTTGGCTACTCTACTACAGCACATTACGGATCTTTTATCTAAAAAATACAGTTAAAAGTAGAAATAGCAGTTGATACAACCTTAACTAAAAAAGACCAGTTATGCAGTCTTTCTCCCCTCTTCAATCCTGTTTCCTTTACACATCCGCAGTGTTTAACATAAAATATTTAAATGTGTGTGGAAGTTAAACAGTGTGCCTTTTTTCTAAGGGACCTCTTTTTTCCTCCGTATTTCCAACATTACAACGTTGGCTTGGCAATTGTTATGCCAGAGAAACAAAAATCCTAATTTTCACACTTCATTAATAAATAAATGGAGGCCCCAGACTTTATGGAATGAACCCATAGAGACCTCAGGAGTTGAGAGCTTTAATCAAACCAGGCCTGTTTGCAGACAAGAGTTCAGAGATCAAAATTTGCCAAAATCAAGATTCAAAAGTGGAACTCTGGATCCATGATTTAAGAACATTTCAGGCCAGGCGTGGTGGCTTAAGCCTGTAAACTCAGCACTTTGGGAGGCCAAGGTCAAGAGATTGCCTGAGCCCATGGGTTCGAGAACAGCCTGGGCAGCTTGGTGAGAATTCAACTCTACAATAAATTAAAAAATCATCCAGGCGTGGTAGCACACACCTGTAGTTCCAGCTACTTGGAAGGCTGAGGCGGAAGGATCACCTGAGCCCAGCAGGTCAACGCTGGGGTGGCCATGAGTATGCCACTGCACTCCAGCCTGGGCAACAGAGTGAGACTACAAAAAAAAAAAAAAAATCATTTCAAGTTTGACTAGGTAAAGAAAAAAACAGATTTGAAGGTTATGCAGAGGCAGATCAGAGACTGTTCTCTTGCATTTGACTAGGAAGCAAGACTCAGACTTTGATGGTTTGAAATAGAGAGGATGAGAAAAACTTTCTGAGAAAGACTCTTAACAGTGGGCAGCTGAGGACTTAGAAGTACAAAAATTTCAGGATCCAGACTGCTATAAATCGAGTGCTTGCTGCAATTTTCCTGGATGTTTGAAATTTTTCCTAGTAAGATGGTGAAAAAATAAAAAGCTGTAAGAGAGTTATGAGGAAACTGACCAACACTGCCGGTTTAATCCAGGGGATTGCTCTATGCTATTCCTTGCAAAGGATAAAAGCAGGTCCCTTCTACAGATGTTATAGCAGGAACATAATAGAAACCACCAGCATGTCAATTGAGCGCTTACCTTGAGCTCTACAGACACTATGCTATTTAATATTCACAATAGCTGGGCACAGTGGATCACACCTGTAATCCCAGCACTTTGGGAGGCTGAGGCAGGAGGATTGCTTGAGCCCAGGAGTTCGAGACCAACCTGGATAACATAGTGAGACTTCGTCTCTACAAAAAAAAAATCAAGAAATTAGCTGGGTGTTGTGGCATGTGTCTGTAGTCCCAGTTATTTTTGGACACAGGTATAACAAAGTGGTTTGGAGCATGTGTCTGTAGTCCCAGCTACTTGGGAGGCTGAGGCAGGAGGATCACTTGAGCCCAGGAGGTCAAGGTTGCAGTGAGCCATGAAGGTACTGCTGCACTCCAGCCTGGGTGAAAGAGACCCCCAACTCAAAAAAAAAAGAAAAGAAAAGATTTACAATAAAGCCTTAAGGTAAGTACAATTATCATTTCCATTTTCAGAAGACAGAAGCAAAGCAATGTTCCTAAAGTCACACAGCCAGCAAGGGACAGAGCAAGAATTCAAACCAGCGCTTCTTTGAACAGCTTCTATTTTGCACAGACTCGGCTTTTTTTCAAGGCCCCTGTGAGCTCCAGAGACCAGCAGGTATCTACACATTTATCAAATCACTGAACATGTTCTGAGACTCTCACCAGACTTAGGAAGGTTCCTGAAACCACAAAAGCAATAAACCTTCATCTCAAAAGCAGGAGGCTCTGGGTTCAAATCCTGGCTCTGCCACTTAACAGTCAGATCACTTAAGCCCCAGTTTTTTCACCACTGTGTGGGGATTCGCAATGCTCTCGGCAAGAGGCTGCTGTGGGGATTAAATGAGATGGTGTGTTTAAAGTTCTGAGCACACGGTAAGCTAGCAATACCAGGCAGCCATTGTTGATATTATTTTGAGTTTGTGTGAAACCAAGCCCCTCGACCCAGATGTTATGCCAAACCACCAAAGCCAGCAGGTTTTGAAAGAATGAAATACAAAGAAGGGCCAAGGTTTAAAAAGGAGAAAGAAAAGGAAAGAAGGAAAGAGATCAGAGCCCTATGACATTCGTCATAGCAGGTAAGAAACTAAGACATTTGATTGTGATTTCAACTTGAACCCATCGGAATCAGAATACAGTTGATCCATTCTAGGGAGGTTGTCTAAATTCATAATAACAGGTATAGAGAAAACACACACACACCCCACACACAATTTTCTACAATACACAGCCGGACATAGCTCAGAGCTTGGTGCTGTGGACAGCCCTAAGCAGTGACCCAGCGCGGGACAGCAGGCGGTAGGGTCTTGGAGAGGAGCAGGGGGCCTTTCCCAGTGTGGCAGGAGACAGGAAGGGCAGGGGCACTGGGAAGCCCCCTGAGTTTGCAGAGACAGCTGGTGATCCTGGAACCCCCCTCCCCCGACACCGCCTCTACACTTTGAGGGCGGGAGTTTCCGCTATTACATCCTATTAACGAAAACCCAAAATCATTTCGTTGGAAATGTTGTTGACACCAAAACACCGTGGAGAGAGCAAGTCCATGCAGCCAGTCTGTTTCGGGATTGCCTTACAGGTTTGTACCCAAAGCCAAGACTTGAACTGAGTCCAGGGAGCCAGGGGAAGGGTATGCTCACAGTTAATCTCCCCCAACCCTTCCCCCCACCCCAGAGGCAGACGGGGGAAGAAAATCTGAGGATTCCAGGTGTGCCCCAACCTCGCGCGGGGGACGGCAGGCGGACCACTCCCCGCTCTCTGGGGACGTGGGCTCTTTCCAGGACGGTTCTAGGGCTCTGGCGCCCCAGCGCATCCCTGGCGGAAGACAGGATCTCCTCCCTTGGCTGCGGGAAAGACCTTACTTTCCAGGACCAGCTGAGACCTGGCGGATCCGGGAATCGGAGTCCAGCCCAGGCTCCTGTCTCAGCTGCCTGGTCATTTCCCGAGCGTCTTCGCGATGCCCAGCCCAGAGGGTCTCCCTTTTGTTCGTGGGGAGAGAGCGTCTCTGCGCAGCGCTACGTATCCCTCCCGCGCCAAGAGCCCAGTTGCGGGGGCGCGTCCCTGGGTCCGCTCCTGGCATTCGCTGCGCTCCCGCGACCACCGGCTCCAGCGCACGGGTCCCCATCTGTCCCCCGCCCCCCGCCCGAGTACTCACTTCTCCCCAGTCCCTCCGCTTTCCACGCCGTCTCCTCCACCGCCCCATAGCGCTTCAGAGGCTTTTCGGCTTCCAGATGGGTGGACAAAGATTGCTTTAACTCCATCGCGGATCCCCGCGGCCAGCCTCACGGGTCCCTTCTACTCCATCCCCGCTGCGGGCTGCAGGGAAGGAGGTGGCTCCGGCCAGCAGCGTTTTAAGGGGCCGGGCGCTCGTGACGCTGCTCCATCTCTTCCGCCGCCAGCGCCGGGGAGCGCCGACTGGTACCCAGGAGGGGGAGGAGGGATGCAGCGCGCATGCGCAGTGGGGATTTTGGGAAGGGAGGGCATGGGGGCTGGGTAAGGAGACAGAGGGGCAGCTGATGATAACTCTAAGAAGAACAACAAAAACAGCAAATAAAATAAAAACCAACCCAAAGGAAGTCAGGCCAAGGCCCCTGCCCGTTCTGGAGCCGGTGGTGATGCCGCGTATGGGGCTGGCACTGTGGGTGACCCTGTGATCTATGAATGGGCTGCTGGGTTTTGAGTGGGATTGGTGAGCCCGTCTCTGCCTGTGGGTGACGGATCCATCTTTGTGGGGATATGCAGAAGCTTGAGTGTGGACCTGGATCTGTGTGCTCTGGGCTTGGCTGAGTGCACTTTGGGGAGAACCACTGTACGTATAATTTGAAATGGGACTGCGGACTCCTGTTTCAGCTCTGTATGTGTTTGCGTGGACTTGGGGGACAGAGACAAAATTATTTTTGGACACAGGTATAACAAAGTGGTTTGGAGCATGAGGCTTTACTTTCCAGAAACACAGAGGTTCATCTTCCCCAAAAAGCATGGCAGCATTAAAAGGATAGAGTATAAAAATATCAGGAGTCAGACTGATAAAAATAAGTACTATGTATTGAATGGCAGCTGGGTGTGAAAAACTTCCCAGTAGCTCTGTGACATGGATACTATCTTGTTAGCCTTGTTTTACAGAGGATGAAATAGAGGTGCAGAACGATTATTTGCCCAAACTCCCACACTTACTAAGTATCTTAAATTCTAATCCAGATTTAGCCTTTACTGACCTCCAAGACCACATAGTTATTGTGTTTGATGTTAAGAAGGGAAAAGGCTTTATAGGGCATGGGTTGTTTGATGTTGTTTTAAGATGTCATCTGGGGCAAATTTTGGTATCCACTTGGCTTATGGAGGTGTAAAAATGGACCAGTTCTCTAAGAAAACCATGTAGCTATTGAAAAAGTTATTATCAGTAATGATCTGCTAGGCCAGGCACAGTGGCTCATGCCTATAATCCAGCACTTTGGGAAGCTAAGAAAGGAGGATCACTTGAGCCCAGGAGAATGCAACCAGCCTGGACAACATAGTGAGACCTCATCTCTACAAAATTAAAAACAAAATTTTTAATTAAAAAAACAAAAAACGATCTTCTAAATATTCTAAGTAGCTCATGGGAAAAAATGAAAATAATAAAGTATTTAGACCTGAATAACAATAAGACTTACAAGTCTTAACATATCAAAACATATAAGTTGGGTTTTTTGTTGTTGTGTGTTTAAGAGATGAGATCTCAATCTGTCATCCACACTGGAGTGCAGTGGCACAGTCATTACCCAGTGTAACCTCAAACTCCTGGGCACAAGCTATCTTCTGCCTCAGCCTACCGAGTAGCTGGGTCTACAGGCACACATCACCATGTCTGGCTCAAAACTCATGTTTTGATGTAAGTAAATGGACAGCCTTAAATGCACCCATTAAAAAATGTAATACTAAAAATAAATAGACTAAGTGTTCAATCAAGAAACTTTCAGAAAAAAAGAACAGTTGCAACCTAAGTGAAGTAGAAAAAAGGAAACAACAATAAGAGTATAAATTAAGGAAACAGAAAACCAAGAAGCAATCAAGAGGATCAACAAAACCAAAAGCTGATTCTTTGGCCTAATAAAGAAAGCAAATCGCTCAAGATTCATCAAAACAGGCACTCATGATTAATAGTAAGAACAGTTCAGGCACAATGGCTCATGCCTGTAGTCCCAGTAGCTTGGGAGTCTGGAGCAGGAGGATCAACTGAACCTAGGAGTTTGAGGTTACAGTGAGTTATGACTATGCCACTGCATTCCAGCCTGGACAACACAGTGAAGATCTGACTAAAAAAAAAAAAGGTGGGAGGAGGGATATATATGCCATGTTCAAGGGTATAAAGATGAAAATTATCTTCAGTGCAATTCCACTTGAAAGCTCAATAGGATATAAGATTTTAAAATAAACTTTGACACCAGATCCAAAAATTACAAGGAAGAACAAAGGGTTAGGATTAGGCAAGACAATGTTGAAGAGAATTAACAAGTGAGGGAGAACTTAACTACCAGATATCAAAACCCACCATAAAGTCTTAAGTCATAAGAAAAGATTGAGACCTCAAAAGAGACCCACACATATTTGCAAAGTTGATCTATGACAGAGGAAGCATTATAAATTATAAATCAGTACAGAAAGAATTAAGAATAAGCCATTCAGTAAGTGGTACTGAGGTGTTTGTCTAACACTATGGAAAACTAAAATTAAAATTTCAGCCTTATACTTTCTATCTCACACACACACACACACACACACACACACACACACACACACACACACACACAAATTCCAGGTGGCTTAAAGATCTAAAAGAGAAAACCACAGTTGGAAAATGGAAAATTTTGTTCCTGAATTGTACTCCACATTTTCAAAATAAAATATATTTAAAAAAGAAAAATGTTGTAAGATACTACAAAAGAATACCTTCATTTCTTTGCCATGGAAGGACATGTTAATTAAGATACAAAAACACAAATCTTACAGAAAATATTAATATGAATAAGATTGACTACATTTAATTTTTCATTAAAATTAAAATTCTCATAACAAAATAATTTTAAAGGGAATAATTCAGTGACCTATTTTGACAATGTTGCATCACTACCACTTCTAGTTCCATAGTCATCACCCATTAAGGAAGCTACACACCAATTAAGCAGTCACTCCACATTTTCCACTTCCTCCAGCCCCTGGGAACTACTAATCCTCTCTCTCTACAGATTACCTATGCTGGATATTTCACACAGAATCATAGGGTATGTGACCTTTTGTCTGGCTTCTTCCACTTGGGATACTGTTTTTGAGGTTCATTCATGCTGGCACGTATCAGTACTTCGTCTCTTTTCATGGCTGAATATTCTATTGTATGACTATGCTACAATTTGTTTATTCATTCATTCATCGATAGACATTTGAGTTGTTTCCACCTTTTGACAATTGCGAATGGTGCTGTTATGAACATATATACACAGACATCTTTTTGAGTGCCTGTTTTAAATTATGCAGGGTATATACCCAGGAGTGGAATTACTGGGTCAACTGGCAATTATAAGTTTAACTTTTGGAGGAAATGCTGAACTGTTTTCCATAGCTGCTGAACCATTTGCATTCCCACCAGCAATGTGTGAGGAGTTCAATTTCTCCACGTCTTTGCTAACACTGATATTTTTCATATTTTGGGTTTATAGCCATCCTTGTGTGTGTGAAATGATATTTCATTGTGGTTTTGATTTACATGTCCCCAATGGTTAATTATGTTGAGCTTCTTGTATGTGTTTGTTGGCCACTGGTATATAACTTATTTGGAGAAATGTTTATTGAAGTCCTTTGCCCATTTTTGAATCAGATTTTTGTTGTTGTTGTTGTTGAGTTGTAAGAGTTCTTATATATTCTGGATACTAGACCATTATCAGATACATGATTTACAAATATTTTTCTCCCATTCTGTTGATTGGCTTTCTACATTAAAGTTTCAATATTTCAGTTCAATAGAATGAACTATAAACAAAGTAAAAAGATAAGTCACAAACCAGAAAGAGATGTTTGTAATTCATTTTATTGGCAAAGGATTCATATCCATTTTCTGCTTTAAACATTATACATACTAATAAGAAAATGATATTCCAGTAGGAAGTGGGCAAAGAAAGTGAGCAGGCATTTCATGGGGGCAGAAGAGAAAGGTCCAATATGAGAGATGCTCAACTACCTTAGTAATAAGGAAAATGAAATTTTAAACAAGAATATACCATTGGATGTGCAAAAACTAAAATTTCTGATGATTGCATGTGTTGTAAAAGATGTGAATTCCCAGATGCAGTGGCTCACATCTGTAATCCTGGCACTTTGGGAGGCGGAGGCAAGAGGATTGCCTGAGCCCAGGGGTTTGAGACCAGCTTGGACGACTTGGTAAGACCTCATCTCTACAATGAATCAAAAATCTTAGCCAGGCATGATGGCACACGCCCATGGTTTCAGCTACTCAGGAGGCTGAGGCAGAAGGATCACCTGAGCCCAACAGGTCAAGGCTGCGGTGACCATGAGCATGCCACTGCACTCCAGCCTGGGCGACAGAGTGAGACTAACTTAAAAAAAAAAGTGAGTTAACTTGAACTCCAATCTGATGCTAGTGAGAGTTTAAATCAGTACAACTGATTTTAAGAGCAGGTTGGCACGTTCCAGTCCAGTTGCACATGGGCAGACCTCATGCATTGCAATTCTGCCTCTAGAAAAACTCCTATTCATGCAAGGAAATGGGTCTAAGAACATCCAGTGTAGCAATGTTTGTAATTGTGGAAAATTTGGAACAACTTTTATGCAGCATCAGTGGAGAAATGGACATATTGTGGCTAATTTATGTCATAGAATACTAGATAGCAGAATATGAGCCAGAGCCACGTGAATTCATGTGGATACTTCTCAAAGGCATAATATAAGCAAAAAAAGTAATTTGCAGATTGATAGGTACAGTATGCTATAATTTATATAAACTCTAAGCACATAAAAATTAATACTATTATAATTTATAGGTCTATACATATAAGAATAATGACTTAGTTGGTTTCAGCTATATCTAAAACATATTTATTTTTTTCTCAAACTGTTAGAAGTATTTTTAAATTTTTCAAATCTACAAAAAGTTACAAGAATAGTACAATGAAAACATATACATTTCAGCCAGGCATGGTGGCTTATGCCTATAATCCAGGAATTTGGAAAGCTGAGGCAGGGGGATTGCTTGGGGCCAGAAGTTTGAGACTAGCCTAGGCAACATAGCAAGGACCCATCTCTACAAAAAAAAAGAAAAATTATCTGAACATGGTGGCATGCAGCTGTAGTCCCAGCTACTCAGGAAGCAGAAGGATCGCCTGAGCCCATGATCATGCCTCTGCATTTCAGCCTGGGCAACAAAATGAGACCTTGTGTCATAAATAAACAAGCAAACAAACAAATAAATAAAATGATGTCCACAAAGAGTTTAGAATGCCATAGGAAGAGCATTATAACACAATTTAATTCAAACATAAGAAAAAAAGTAGACTATAAATTGTAATATAAAGCGTAGGGTATTGTTTGTGATCTTTTGGCTAAGCTCAAGTCTACACAGTGAACCAAGT